GAAATCTGTCTAACCTCTCACATTGAAATAATAAATTTATTATAAAATAAACATAATTTAATTTGTTAATTCTAAATTTTTATTAAATTGGTGAGAAATAAAAATATCAATTGAAATATACTCAATAATCAAAACTAAACCTCAAGTAATAGCATATTTATTTTATGAGAAGGAGTTAGTTGAGGGTGCGGTCAAATAAATAATAAATTAAAATATATTAATTATTTTAATTTTTGCCGACGTTTCGACCCACTTTGCAGGTCATTTTCAGGGCTACAAAAGATACAAATAATTTACAAATACAAATACATACATTACATTATAATTACATACATTATAAATACAAATAATCTCTATTAGTTTGTTATACACTTATTCCTTATCTTTTATCGCAATCTGTTTACTTTTAACTTACATGCTATATTCTCCTTTATTTTTATTTTTATTCATACTTATTTTCCATTTATTTGTATCTTCTACATATATAATTCTTAATATTTAACTACATTGTCACCCACTACATCTCTGATACCATCTTTAATTTCTGTATCTGACAACTTCGTCTTATTTTATATATACTTATATTTATTTTTTATTTTCAACATGTTTTATATCTTTTGTAGCCCTGAAGACGACCTGCAAAAGTGGGTCGAAACGTCGGCAAAAATTAAAATAATTAATATATTTTAATTTATTATTTATTTGACCGTACCCTCGACTAACTCCTTCTCATATTATATCAACGGTCAACCATCTCTACATCAATATTTATTTTATTTATTAGAATTTAATTGAATTATTGTACAAACACTGGCAAGATTTGACAAAAAAAATTAAATAAAGTTAATTTAAAAAAAAATCCTTAATGAAATTTTGTTAATTTTTTCACTATTTAGACTGTTATAAAATGATAAATAAGCAATATAATTAATTCTGACATAAGGTAGCCACTGTGTACATATAAAAATAAATAGCATACTCACGCTACATGCATAAAATCTGCTCACAATGGAAATACAAAAATTAACAACACTAAAAATAAAAATCTATAGTACTAAAATGGCTGTTTTTTTTGTCATCTGCAGTTCATTGAAGTTCCTCATGATGAGTACCAAACTAATCTAATTTCTGAATAATTTTAAGTTTTATTGAGTGTTCAAAAAAAGTGAAATGTACTTTAAAATTATAAACAGTAATGTTATTAATATTTTCTATGAAAAAATGATTGAGCTTCTGTTGTATCTCATAAAAATATAGAATATGTTGTTAAAATTTCATGAATGCAACTTTATTAGAGTCTTAGTTGGTAATTTTGTGAGTTGTTGGGTTTTATTTGAAGTGAAAATATTAAAAACAAACCGGAATCTACAAAGTTCAACAACGTCTGTGAAATGTAAAATAGGTGGACAAACAAATAAGAAATGGGCACTCAAAAAAAGAAACTGAGGATCTGAAAAAATAAATAAATTTTGTTAGCAACCTTTTGAAATTAAATTGGTTTATTTGATATGGATAAGCTGTTAGCAATATGTTTAAACAAAAATATTTACATGAAACTTGTCTGTAGTACTATAATTATAAGATACACTTTTTACGCTGAATTAACTTGTTTTTATATTTTAATGTAAGGAGAGGTATTGGGATCGGGAAAAATTTTGAATCTTAGTTTTCAATTGAAAAACACATTTCAAGGTTCTATAAGTCCAAAAAAACATTTCACAAAATGGTTCATGTGAGTGATAGTAGAGCCTAGCTCAAAAATGAAAAATGAATGAAAGTGATTATGCTTATTTAAGATAAGTATGAAGGTCTGTCACATCCCATAACTAGTTGGAATAGTCCACTTAATGGTTCCAGGTTCAACTAAGCCATTTGATGTTTTTGCCATGGCTTGTTAGCATTTGGAATAAAAATCTGAATGCTCATTTAACTTTTTTTCAGTATCTATAATCACAAACTTTTTTTTTTTTTTTCACGAAGTTGATAAATTATTTTCATTGAATAATAATTATCATAAACAATAGCATTTTTTAATAGTGAAAATGTTACAATAATAACAAAAACCAAAAAATATGTGAAAAAAATTCAGTAAGTGACATGAAAATACAAAAATCACTGTTACCAACCATACATCATGCTTCAAAGTTTCCACATTCAAATCCCTCCTTTCTCCTAATATGATGAATATTATTTTATGTTAAATTATATATTCTTTTATTTCCAATACTACCCAGAATACTTCTGCTATTTTCTAGGTATTTATTTTTTAATGTATTTTTATTGCTTTAGTTATTGTTTTAATTGTCTGCCTGTATATTGTATTGTTATTTATTTTTTATTATATGGATTAATTCGAACCCGTAGACCTTATATTATAATTAGAAATTATTAATTTAACCTTTAGAAATAATTATTTGCTGATAAAAATAATTATTACTTTTACTTATCTTGTAGTTAAGATCAAACATTTCATTAATAGAGAACAAAACTCAACCCTTCTCCATTTCCCCACAAAATTATAAAACAGTTTTTATTTATTTCATAAAAGTGAGAAACAATTTAATTTCCATACAATACGATTCCGTGTCTGATTTTGAAAATCCTCTGTAGATGAGTGAGTAAAGGGAATTTTGTGAAGTAATGTATACCTTTGCCAAGAGCTTGACCATCGAAGCTCTTGAATAGACCTCTCCAACCACAACAGTCCTTAGAGTTTGCTACCCACCACAAAGCAAGAGAAACTTATTAAAATATTTTGTGTATTGGTATTATTTTATGGATTTATAGGTAACTTATTATTTTTGGAAAAATGACCAAATTTTTTAATTTTCGGAATATAAAAAAGTTTTACAAACTGAAATGATCACTAATAAGTTACACCATTTTACGACGCTGTCTGAGACAACTTTTTACTTATAGGCTTTTAAGAGAAAAAATAATACAAGCACCGATATGGAATTAAGTTTCAATATGTAAACTGAATTGGTTTTACAATGGTATATTTTAATGAAATTCATCTATACCTAGACTTAAAAAAAATTGTGAAAATTCTATTAACAGTAAATCTATGGTAGCCTCGGGTAGCATGATATATTAATCATATTATTTACATGTTTTCTGCACTTTGTAATGAATCACGAATAAACTGAGATCAAATAATAATAGGGCAAGTATTTAAAATGAAATTAACTTTTGGGATTCGCAAGGGCTCACTTCAACTTTGGACAGACAAAATGGTATGGCGCCTAAAGCTCTGATTTAAAGTAACATTTACTTGCCAGTTCCTCTCCTGTTTTAGTTTGTCATCTTTGATTTTGTTATCAACTCTCATTTTAAATCCACTATTTGAATTGAATGTCTGTACTATCCATGGTCCTGTTTTCAATCATTTTTTTTTTATTTGACCTCTCTAAAATCTTTAATATGTGAAATAGTTATCACTTGTTATTAATATAAACTAAATAAAGTCTTAAATCACAAAATAACTATAAATCGAACTTGAATATAGGTCCATTCAGGGCTCAGGCAGATTTATTCTTGACGCTCCCTAAAAAAAAATTTCCAGGTGTGGGACTTTCATAATGAGTAGAATATGATTTATTTTTAAGGACTCATAACAAAAAAAAATTATTTATTTATTGTTGGTATGCCACTACCCCAAAGGGTCAGTGGTATTTTGTTTGTTTTTAGAATTGATAATTCCTTGAAAGTATTCCATTCAATATGCCAGTTTCAGAATCTTTTAAAATTTCAGCATGTTGAGTTTTTTTTCTTGTAGAGTTTACCAAAGGTATTCATCCAGTACATGGGTGACAGTCCCTTGGGCACCACACTCAACACAGGTAGGAGCTTCCAGACCGCGGAAAAGATAACAAGGTGAAAATTCACAATGTCTGATTCTGAGGTAACACTATATTATGTATTTCTTCTTGCCTTGATTTTCTGTAGCTAAAGCTCTATTTTGAGCTATTTTCCTTCACCTAGAGTAATTTTAAAGGATATCCTCTCCACTCCAAGTCTCATCCTACTGGGTCGGTCAATATTTTACTTCCTCACTCAATATTCCCAAGGAAGACAATTTAAGATTTTTACTCGACTGTTGCCGCCTATTCGGGCTGTTCTAGAGGAGTATCTGCTGTTTCATTCCTCTTAATACCATAATGGGATAGAGTCCAAATGAAAGCTACTTCACAACTCCCCTTTTTTTAATTTCTCAAATAATGTTAAAAATGTCTGCTGTTGTCGAGTTCTTTGGTCTCTGAAGCTTAGTGTAAAATTTTACTTTTAAAATTTTGCAAAAATAGAAAATTAAAATATATAAATAAAACAAATGGTAGCACTGTACAAGTGTCACTCTACTTTGATATGGGGCACAAGATTTCATGATCACATCATAAAATGGAATCCCGAGAATGGTCGATTGTCTCCGAAAGTAGATGGAAGTGACCGAATTGTATGCTAAGGCCCCGACCCCAACTGAACAGGGCCTGGCTGTTTGTTTAACCTGTTAGAGTAAGCAGGAGTCGAAAGCAGCGATGTCATTGAAGCTAATAAACACACCGAGTTTAACTGATAGGAATCAGCTGAGAGTATGCCAAAGTCATGAATTGAGGTCTAAATAAAGAGAGGTTATACTGTTAACAGATGACTCCTCCGCTATTCTCAGAATAGCTATTTTCATTCACAGCGAGATTGTGATATCTTGAGCCACTCGTCAAATTGGAGTGACACTTATACAGAGGTAACAAATAAATTTTCTTTAAAATTATAAAAAATACTGCTTCCATTATGTAATAATTTTGTTCATTGTTTCTTGTCTTCAGCTGAACTGAATGTAAATATAATGTGAGGTTTCTTTCATTTTTCTATGCTTAAATAAGCTCATTAATAAATTGATATTGAAGATACTTTGGGCCTCAGAATATATCTATTTACTACAGATATATTATAAAAGTATATAATAATAAAATGTATAATGCAAAAAAAAAAAAAAAAAAAAATTAATGTAACAATGTATAATGAAAATAATTTTCCATCAATATGGAATACAATGCATATGTTATGGTACTACTTATAATAAGTTACAAACAGTAAACTTAAAAATTAATAAAAGAACAAGTATGCACTGATAAAAATTTATTTATTTTAAGAATCAAATAACTATAAAAGTATAAAAGAGGAAGAAATTAAATATTATAAATGGATGTAGTACAATTAAAATCAATCAGAACAGTTAATCGACAAATCAGTCTTCGGTAATATAAAAATTAAGTGGTAACATTATTAGCTACCAAAGGAATGGTCCTCTTTCTCGTATCAATTTGATTCCAAATCTGAGCCATTCATCTTTTGAAATCCACAGTTCACCGGCAGATTCAAGACAAGCAAGAATGGCAGCCCCTTTCCAAACAGCTGCAGCATCTTTTCCCTCCATAACACTACGCTCACCATCATCTATAACAATATCAAACATGGGTTACTAAACTAAACTATACCCATACATGTGATCATACGGAGATTTAAATGTGTGAGTGTGATGAAGATAAAAATAATCCATTCATTTAAAAAGAATTAGTACAAAGCCAAACACTCCAAATAACTTGATAGGAACCCTCCTAGCACTGGAGCCAGGGCCCGAAAATCGACATCACAGGTGAAGGTTTGATTGTAAATTATGAAAGTGTATGTTATCCTGACTAAAAAGAACCTTGTCTGCAGTTCCAGAGACGCAGCTTTAAAAAATGGCAACTGATTTAAAGAATATTAGACCAGTAATGTGAGGACGGAAACGGAAATCCATTGCAAAAAATGTGAGAAAAGTTTTTATTTTTTTAACCGCTATATATGGGTTTAGAAATGTGCAAAACAAAATTGCTAATGCGGGCCACCAAGGGAAAACTTCAGGGCGATCCACAGTTAACCTGCAGTTAACATATGTACATCTGAGATTTAATTTAAAACAATTTAATAGTTAAAAACCTGGTACAGGTTGTGCATCACACAACTTTCCACTCAACTTTTAGTAGAAATAGAAAAAAATAAATTGTAGACAGTACTACAAATATATATTAATTTAAAACAATTAATTACTATAAATTTTTTTGAAAAGTCTAATCCATTAAAAATGTAGCCATTTTTTGTCACTGTTTATTTCCTTCTATGATTATATTTTTATTACTTATTTAATTAAACAGTGCCACAATTTTTTTTTTTTTAGATAGAACCAATTTTCAGCCATCGCTGCAATGAATGGAAGCAACAAAAAGGTTCTCATCAGGATTCCTTGCAATGTCAAAGTAAGTAACAAAATCCCATTTAAATGATTCGTTTTGATGCTTTAGATTCCAAGAAGGAAAAGATACAATAGCCAGGACATTTTAAAAATTATCTCAAAATTAAACTTTTAATTTAGGTTAGAAGATACATCACAACTAACCTTTTAAATTGGAAAATCTTTTAAAACATTTAAACTAACTGTACAATTTACTAAAAATACAATTTTCCAGATAAATTGGAAGCATTGAAAAATGCCTTCAACTTATGGGAATCTCAATTGGATTATTAATAAGTCACCTAAAAATAAGAATAAGTACAGCCAACTTACATGTATTATTCCTGAGCCAAGACATAATTTTAAAAAAAAACAATTGAAGAAGTTAGTAATATTTATTTATTTGAGCGTTTTTACAACTACACTATTACACGTCAATTACACTATAGCCTCTTGTTTTTTACTGTACTTTAGTTATATATGTCCACAATTTTTAGAAAGTGGGTAAGATTTATAACTGTTTCCAAGTATCTCCATAAAGTTAGATATAGATATTCTTTATCTACAATTTGATAGAAATAATCACAAATCAAGAGATTGTCGCATTGAATGTCAAAACATTAAATGCTCAGACTGTCAATATTTATGTCCTAACAATACACCTTAGGAAGGCTTGCATTACAACACACCTTCAAAGTGTAAAATTTATGGATAATGGATTCAAGAACACACAGAATTAGGAGACTCAGCCAATCTATTTGAACCAGTAAAAATTTGAAAATATAAAAATAGTTTAAATTAAAAGCAGTAGAACCTTTCCATTCTGAATGCAACTAAGCTATTAAAAAAACTCATAAAATCATTATCAATAAAAACTGATGGTTTAAGTAGGAAAAAAAAAACAATTGTATTTTAATTTAATCATTTCATAGAGTTTAAGAATGCAGGACATCACCTTTTGGAGGAATAGGAATTTGTTGAGAAAGCCTTTTTTCTAACCAAGATATTATTCCTTTAAATTTCAAACCTCCTCCTATAAGAAGTATGGACGAATACATTTTTCTTTTGAGATCATCAGAGCCTAGAAATTTACACAACAACTTAATAACTTTAAATAATAAACAAAATGAATACCAGAATAAAAAGGTACATACCACATTTTTGTATACTTTGCAAAATAGCTTGGTCAAGAGGGAGTAGACCTCCTTCGTTGGTACAAAATTCTCCTGAACCAGATGCCTCAACTTCTGCAAGCTCTTCGTCTGCCTCAACTTCACACTCCTTCTTCCTCTAAAAAAATACAACATATCCTAACAATAAGAAATGAACACACATATTTTATTTATTATTTTTTTCTCTTGGTTGCCACTAGAGTAAGCGCCCCAGTGATGGATATAGCTAAGAAAATTGTGGTATTTTTTGGCTTATACCGCCGTAATTATTATAGTTATAAACTTATCCATTAGCCATATAGAATCTCTAGGGTCTGCTTTTACTATTTAACAATTTAAAATAAAAAAAATATTCAGTTATGCAGGTATAATCACCATATTAAAAAAACATCTTTTTGTACTAGTGATAGGCATCCCAAAATTCAATTGTTCTAGAAATGGACAAGTGGTCGGTACCAGTATTGGACATACCTCAGAAAAATCCTCATTCGACTATAAAGATAAGATAACATAAATGTTCAACTTACGCTTAGCAAAACTGTTGGTAGGAAGATATGAAACACACTGATCTCAAGAGCACTATAGAAACAACAATGATAGGCATTCTAAAATTTTCTTTTGTAAACTTTAGGGGGCAATGTTTTTCAATGTAGGAAAAACTGGAACCTTCAAATCAACAAGGAAGCTTGTTATTTATATTTAAAGTCCAATCTGTTTATCACAGGGATTTCCTGTACGTAACTGGTGCGTTCACCCTACAGTCCATGTAGATCCTTGGTCACGCAATGTGAGTTTTTTTTTTTTTTGACATACATGGCTTGCGGGAGCACAGATAGTCTGGATGGAGTACGTTGTTTTCAATTTCACCTCACGTTGCTTTGAACCATGGTGCAGCAGTAGTCTACCCATAACTCCATAACTGATCCCCAAGGGGCCAACTTGGCATTATCCTTCCTATTTTGATTATTAAAAAAGTTCAAATTACACAGTGTGCTTGTAATAACTACTTTTAAGATTAAAAGATTGAAACTCAGTTAACAAATACAACTTTACTAACTGAATACGTAGGTAAATGTATATTCACTTTGAAACAATCAATTTTCATGTATATAAATCATATTATTTATTTAACTTTGTAAATTCTATTTGTTTTGACTTTTGGAGGCTGCTTTGATGAAAAAGAATTTATTGCCAAGCCATGTTGTTCACTTCCCAGTAACTGAAAAGATATAATTGCATCTTCATGCTATTGTCATTTGCATGTCATTCTTATGTACTTTGAAAATTCACAGAATATTTACAAGACAAGCAAGCGTCTTTGGTTAGAAATTTGTTTTTGAACAAAACTTTCCATCCACCCTTTCTTTATTTTCTTTTTTTTTGCTAGTTCAGATTACTGAGATTACACTAAACTTATAAAAATGCATTACTACATAGATAACTTCATATGTAATTACATCTTACATATAATAGATATTTAATAGGCATTAGAAAAATTAAGTTTAAAATAACTTACACCTGTTTCTCGTAAATAATCTGCATCGTGTGGATCAGTAGAATCACCTGTATTAGCCCCTTGAGTCGATATCTGTTTAGGTCCTGTCAGTATCAATAATTCTGGGTAAAATAAAGAAAGTGGAGCAATGATTGCTTCATCACCACTCTGAAAACCAATAGAAATTAAATGATTAAACGTGAAAGACATCAAAATAACGCGTATAGATAGAATTAACATAATTAATTAACAAAAATGTGGTATACCAAGAAAAAAAGGTCTTTGAGAAATAACATATATAAAGATGTAAAATATATAAATATTAAGACATAGAAATTAATCATTTTTTTATTTCTTGTAATCTTAAACGTAAATAGTTTAAATTATAAGTTATTATCACTTGTTTAAACCTTTGACTGCGGGAGCTCATTCACCAGTTTTTACCATACGTTGCATCCTGAAATCCACAGACTTCCGAAAAAATGGATTTTTTTTTGGCATAAATTTGTTTAAAATGCTATTTTGAGGCACCCTGCAAGATCTTAGCTTTCAAATATGCATTTAAATGTTTTTATTTAACTTTAAACAATGGGATACATGCCTTGCTGGGCACACATAGCAATGCAAAATTAGAGTGGCAATCCCGCAACACTTCGCTTTCTTGCGTATTTGCTCATTTCTGAAAAGCAAAATAACTGAAAATGATCACAAAAATATCTGTAAGTGATCATAAAAATTAAGTGATTTCAAAAGTCTTTATTGAAATTATAATAATTATTTTTAAGTAATAAAATAAATAAAAATAATTTTGACGAATTAATTCAAGCTCAGAAAAGGTTACATTTGATTTGGAAAAGATTACATTTGAATTGGAAAGGATTATATTTGAAATGGAAGAGGGGGGCGATATAGCAGAGTGGTAAGCACGCTATACTAGCAAAGTAAAGATCATAGGATCGAATCATTGCCCCTACTTCTCAGTATGGCTGGTCCCCGCAGGGTATTTAGACCATTAACCCATTAATTAGAGAAAGCCTACAATTTGAAACATGCTTGAAGAACAGGCAAGTAAAAAAAAAAAAGCATTTGAAATGGAAAAAGTTACAATAGACTTGGAAATGCTATATTTTCAGTACCATCTTTATTTGAAAATAACTAATAATCACATAACTATTTCTAAAATTATTATCAATAATTCAATTGTCCTATTTTTCTAACTGGACATATTAAAACATTTCTTTGCGAAAGATATAAAATTAATTTAATAAATCTTACTTGAATAGTATATTTATATACAGGGGAATCTGGTTTATTGACTGTAAACGTTAACTCCTTGCAACCACAAATATCTAATTCAATGTGGCAAGCATCTTGCTTTAGTTTATCAAGTAACATGTTGTCATGAAATGAATCAGGATCTGCTTGATAAGGAAACCCACATTTTTTCAGTAGCCAGTAAAAGCATTGTGTTATATCACCTCCTAATAATAAAAAACATATATTTAAAAACATCATGATCAGTAAAAATTGAAGGATCAAGTGGAAAAAGATGATAAGTGACGTTTTTGGGAATATTGTATTATTACAATAAATAAAGTTGTTAGGTGATATATGTTTAATATTTGATCTTCCAAGACAAACAGATTCAGTAGTTGGCTCATAACTAAGTTTATAAAGGTGGTAAGCGCACTTATAACCTTCATTAATAGACAAGTTTCCTCTTTAGTAGTGAAGTAACTAAATCAATCAATCTTTTAAAAATTTCAATGTTAACATTTGGATAAGCACAAATTAATGTTTTTTTTTAAAAAAAGAAAAAGAAACAATGAGGAGATGTAAAATAACTAGGGATTTAGCTTTGAAGACATAAAAAACACAAGCTTTATTTTAGGAAAATCCAAAACCAGTAGAGCCAGAAATAATAATAATTACAGAACTTGAAAATCTTTTGCTCCTTAACCAGCCTTCTCCATCTCTGCCTATTTCAGCTACGGATATTTCTTCCCAGTTATCTACATGCTGCTCAATCGCATCTTTGTTAATTTGATCTATCCATATGATTTTTGGCGCCTTCCATATGGTTTGTTGCCTGGCATTCATTGTTGTGAAGAGATTTCCTGATGGAGTACTCAGAGCTACATATTCAGCCCCTCTTAATCTATTTGTGGCTTCATACTACGAGATATTGATTGACCAGTTTCAGTAAACCGTTATTTATTAGTATTTTGATCCTAGATCGCTTCAGTCTTTCTGCAAAGGATTTCTTTCTCAAATTTTTCAATACTTCTTTCTAGATTACTGGTTAGTGTCCAGATCTCGCAGCAGTATATCAGAACTGAACTTGCTTTGTCATAGCATTGTACACTCTTACTTTGAGATTTTTCAGCAACTCAATACCTTTGAGAGAGGAAAGAAAGCTCTGTTTGCTCTTGTTATACGCTGGCCATTCATTAAGATTATTGTGGAGGCGAAGTACTAGATTTCCATTTGTCTTCTATCAGGAACGATTTCCATTCAACACAGATTATGTTATTGGTGCGGAATTTTCGTCTTATCATATATTTCATTTTAACTTAATTAGATGCAGGCTAATTTGCTCTGTTTCTTATATCAGTCATAGCGAGTTTCTTTATGTGTTCTTGGTTGCTTTCTATGACATCTCATCTATAACATTTGCATATCCAACGATTTTATGATTCATGCGATATGCACTCCCTCCATTTTTACATGATGTTCTTATCACCTTCTCCAGTTCCAAGTAAAACATCAGTAAGAGTCCATCTCGGTGCCACAAGCCATTTTGAACTTTGGAGACTTCGGATACTTCTCTCCTTATATGATGACTTAATATTTTACAGTCATTTGTATAAGAACGCAATATTAAGAAATTTAAAGTAGATACATGTAGATGAATTTTGGAGTTATTACTAAAAGTAGTACAAATGAATGTCTAAATACCACCTTTTTATTACTCATGTTTTTTCCTACTGACTCAACCTATTTTATTCTAAATTTTAGTTTCATCTCTCTAATGTTATTATGAATAATTTCACTTGTATTTGGATTTTCCAAAAATAATATTTGTGTTTTTGTTGCATTCACAGCTAAACCTTAAATTATTTTACATATCATCATTTTTGTTTGTTTTTTTAAAGAAAAAATACTAAACATCAATCGGTGTTTATCCAAATGTTTACATTGAAATCTAAGATAGGCTGATAACTGAAAAAGTGATTTCACCAATAAACAGAGAACTTGTCTATTTATGAAGATAATAAGTGCACTTACAACCTTTATCAACTCAGTTCTGCGCCAACAATTGAATTTATTTTATCAGAAGGAGAGAATACTAAAAACATATCACATATTAACTTTGATCCTTCAACTATTAACTATAATTTCATCTAGACCAAATAGAGTTCCAAGCATATTTATAATTAAATGATAATAAAAATAAATGCAATAATTTACAGATACTTGTTAGTCTACTTTAACATAATAAGATTATATGAAAAGTGACTTTGAAGGAAAAACTGAGTTAGGAACTGAATCAGTTCCTAACTTTAGATACCTACCTCCATATGGTAAGCGTACTCTAGTAGCAGGATGAGATATACCATCTTCCACACAAGAAACCGATGTTTTAGAATGTCCACAGTCAACAACACAAGCTGTCCCAACTCCACAACCAAATGTGGCTGCTACATGATCCTTCAAAAATACCATTCAATAATCGTTTATGGCTCAGCCCCAAATTATTATTATCGAGTGAAAACTAATAAAATACCTGCAGTAAGAAACACGATGAAAACCCCATATCCAGTAAAAGTGTCACATATTCTTTTAAATACTGTCTATTATAAATATCAGGTATAACAAGAACAGCTCGGTAATTCTAAAAATTATGAAAAAACAGTAAGCTTAAGAATTATTTTTATAGTACAAAAACAGTAGTGGTAGGAAGTATTGAATGGGAGATATTGCTAGCCACTAGAGTGATAATTTTTACCTAAAGAATATATCGATTTTTTCGAAGTAGGCTCTTTCTGTAAGTGTTTCAACTTACTAGCATTATTTTAAATACTAGAATCTGAAACACTGAATCAGATGGTCCTTTTAATGTGACTAAATAGATAAACCTTTTTAATTTTAGCAAATCATGTTAATTAAAAAGGTTTATCTATTTAGTCACATTAAAAGGACCATCCGATTCAGTGTTTCAGATTCTGTTATTTAAAATAATGCTAGTAAGTTTAAAATTAACATGACTTGCTAAAATATGGCAAAACCATTAATAATGAATGTTAGTGACCGAAAATAATCGGATTGATTCACATATTGCATGAAAAATGACCAGAATATCAAAAAATACACCACACAGTGACAATGCACCACAACACATAGCAAAAGCATTGAATGGAACGATTGAGGCATTCAATTGAGAAATATTAGTGCATGCTGCTTTGACTGCTGTGACAAGACACGAACTATCCAAATACTACTTCTTTGTATCGATGGGGCATGCACTTGGAGTTTGATGGATCTCTGTCAGCTTTAACACTTTATTTAAAAGTTAAAGTACAATTAGCTGAGTTGGATTAAAAAACTTAGTTTAAAAAACTCATTTTTCAATATACACAATGTGGCACTTATACCAACTTTATCTTGACAGAACTTTTGATTATAAAAAATAATTAAAATTATAAATTAATTTAAAAATAAAACTAAATACATTTCCTTCACTTCATAAAAAAAAAAAAAAATTCATACATATGTTACCTTTAAATCTTGAAGAGGTATACCCAATCTAACACTAATAACCCATGACCATATGGCTTGTAAATCTGCAAGAACACCTGTAAGAGAACCTCCTACACCTGAATGTCGGTTAAGATCTCCTCGTTTCATGGGAAAGTGAACATTAAAATCCAAGGCAGGATTGAGATGTAACACCTTAAAAAACAAAGAGAAATATTCATATATAGAACAGTAATTCTTTTTTTTATTTCCAATAGATTTAGTAATACAGAATCTTATATAGACTAGGAATTTAATTTAGAAAACATTCTGTAACTAAAAAAAAAAATGGAGTTTCTCATTAACACAACTTTCGGTACTTGTCTAATATGCGGTCTGGATCGACTGCTATCTGCCAATGTTTATAACCTGAACACTGATAAGGTACTGATAATCCCTTTCATCATATTCATATTTATTGTATTATATTCATATTATTGAAATTTTATACAAAAAACAAATGTAGTAATAACAAAATGGTTTGATTTGAAATTGAAATAGACAAAAAGAAATATAATAATTTCATAATATATATAACAATAGTTGCAGCTGCTCTTAGCCCACTGTATCATTATTAAATTATCGGATCACCCATAAATTAATTTTAAAGCCGTTAAAAAGGGAATCCTTGACCCCCCTAACCACGTTCCTTTGTTTATAAAACATTTTTGTTACAAGCGGTATGAAAGCATCTCCATTTCGTCTTCCAGTGTAACTTCCTTTGATGACCTTCTTTACATTTGGAATTATCCCGGCGTTTTGCAAATATTCGATAGCCTCTTCTTCTGAAGACAGCAATTCCCACAATGTAATCACATCCATAATTTGAAGAAAATCACACAAATAGAACAAAAATAAACAATTGAATAACAACGGAAGTTTCTTCCCGACCGGCTACTAGACAAGTACCCAACTTTCTTGACAACTCTGGATGCAAGGTCCAATGCAAAATTTATTGCTGTCTGTACCATGCTAAGATAGGTGCAATTAATTTTTTTTCCTTTTATTTTTTTTTTAAGTTCTTAGTAGATGACTTATATTTCAAAAGAGCATCAAGAATGATTCGAAAAATGTATATTTTTTGGGTTATTATTTAGCATTGAGTGCATATAAACTTTATTTAACTCATAACTTTTTACCTCATTTCTTCTTGGGATACACTATATTAAAGGATTTAAAGAGATTTAAGGAAAATAATACATGTAAGACATAAAAATTCAAAGAGCCATTTTTGTGGTGGAGTCTACAGTAAAACATGTTCTTTGTCTGTTGCACATTGGATGCCCAATTTGGTACACAGGCGCTGGAACCATTAAAATGTAATCAATCGGTGCGCCACTTTAAAAGAAAATAGCGTGACAGTTCAAAAGTTGATAATAATTTTTTAAGGAATTAAGTTCACATCCTAAGTTGCAAACTATGATCTTAATCACATAATGTGCCATTGTTCAACTAACAAGATTATCTTAAATTTCAAAACACTTAAAAATACAAAAGATAATTAGTTCAATTAATTACTAAGTATAACAGGTATCATACACTATCACCAAATACAACATTTTCCTCCGATTTAACCCAGCTAGCACCAATTTCAGCAACTACTTCTGGAATTACTCTTTTATTGAAAGCTGATATTTGTTGAGGTGGGGTGACATACCTGTGCTGAAACAAAAGTCCATTTTTATCATGAAAAAGACAAGATAAAAAATATAATTGTGGGCACAAAAAAAAAAAAATGTAAATTAATAAGTAAAAGAGAATACATATAAACAAATCAAAATTTAATTTATTTTGATTAAAATAATTATTTTAGGTGAAAAACAATGATAAGATAACTATAAGAATGAAGGTGCTTTTAACCTCACATATAACCAAAACCAATGAAGAGATTTTAAAATAAATGACAGTATAATTCTAATCATTGGTGATTTGTAAGTGAGAAAAGGGTTGGAATTTTAGCTCCTGGTTCTGGTTTCAATCCGGCTATTGATGAATATTATATCTACTGTTGCAAAGGATCGGTATTGGGGTGAGGAGACTCTCTTTGGGCACACCAAGCCTCTATAAAGTGGGTAGGTGTGCTTCCTTTATGGATTTCATGCAAGACCTGACAATTAAGAATATATAATAACCAATCACATTTAATGCTGTGTACTCAGAAGAAACAGTTGTACTTTGGAAAGCACTGAAACCATGACATTTAAAGGACTGTAGTGGTAGTAGTTTTTTTTTTTTTTAAATATGAGTTTACATAACTTTTTAATTGAAGGAATAGTTAGTAGCAGTAGCAGTGAGGTCAACCACCACTCACTTTAATGTTGTAAAATTTATTTATAGCCTACATTACTGATGGGATAGATTTCTCTGATAGAATAGATATTTACAAGAAATAAAGTGTCAAAATAACAAGTACCTTCGCTGATTGTTGGACATCAAACAAGAGCCAAGCGTATGTGACACCTGAAGGCGACAAGCATCCCTCTCGGCTTCCAGATCCTTGAGCTATAACAAATGCACTAAAATAAATATTCTTAAACAACTATTTCATTGAGGTCTCAGAAAAATATAGTACTTTTGGGATCAGTGGAGGTAATATTGGATCTCTATGAACAAGTCCACCAGGAAGCCTTTTCCTTGCAACAGCATGTAGTTCAGTGCAAGGATTTAAGTCAGATGCTCGACCGATTTTAACATATAGGGATCCAGGATGAATGATGATAATATTTTGTGTCTGCATTTGCACAGGCTGATGAAATAAAAAATAATTAACTTTAGTTATTTATATAATTCTGATTTTTAAATTAATAGTATGAGTTTCTATATTTCATAATAAACTCAGGCTAATAACATCATATCTTACTTCTTCAACATGTTCTATTACGGTAGACATTTTAAACAAATGTGTATTTTATAAAATTTCCAATCAATCTACTAAACCTTCTCTGTTTATAACCATTTCTAGAAGTATAAGCAAGTTTCTCAGGACTGACATCACTGATGATCATCGGAAATCCATCAAACCGTTTCTAAACTCTTTGATGACATATCATAAGTTCAAATATCTATTGTTTTTATTTAACTAACAGAAAAACTAAACAGTAATTATTTAGTAAATCTGTTTTGTAGTAAATAATGCATTATATTAAACATTCGATCAGAGGATCAGGCGGATCTACTTGTAGGCGGATAGTAGAAATTTAAAGAGTCAATGTTTCCAAGACACATTGTCCCAAAATGGCATTAAAACATGACAGACTAACGAATTACTTACTTCAGTGATATTTTTAACTTGTAATTTTAAATAAATTGGGAATTTCAATAGTATTACAAGAATCATATGAACTTTGGGAAGTAAAATGCCACAGATTATCTGAATTTAAGATAATCTTGGTATTTATTGATTCATAAAAAGTCATGATTTTTTTATATTGAGAGATTATGATTACATGCTTTTTATCAAAATGAGAAAATTTAACATTGCTATTTATAAGCATGATATTCAGAAACTGTGTATTTCAAGTGAAATAACAAATGTAATGTAGTAAATTAAACTAAAAAAAGAGCGATTCTTCTGAATATTTTTAAAAATGGATTTATTTTCGCAGGAAGCTTTGTTATATTATCCTGAGTGAAGCCTAAAAAGTACATAACTCTATGCTACACACGTTATCGTTTTTGGAAGAGGCTGAATTTGTAGATTTGGGAACATTTTAACTCAGCCGAGTAGAATCAACTGGTCAACCGGTGTGTCATTTAATTTTCTTACGTCGAATCTATCTATACTGGCCTTAGCGAGTCATGGCCTCCGCCAATATGAGTTTTAAAGTTTTTATATTAAATGAAGTCAAAATTCTGAAGTAAACAACTGCATTAATTTTTACTTTGACTTACTGATATATGTAATACATAGTAAGGGAAAGTATTGCGATCGTGAAAATTCCCGAATCTGAGTTTTCAACGGAAATACACGTTTTGAGTTTTGAGTCCAAATAACCAAGTCCCGTCCGCAAAATGGTTTGTGTGTGTGTGTGTGTGTGTGTGTGAACAGTCTAGCTCAAAAAACGAAAAGTTGTACGCAACTGATATTACTTATTTAAAATAGGTAAATGGCTTAGGACCACGAGGATATTGACAAGTTATGGATAGAGATCAGAGATAATATTAAAGCGGTCGGTAACTCGTGTCTAGGAAAAAAGGAAAATAAGAATAACAAACCGTGGTTTGATGAAGATTGCTTAAACATGTGTGAAAAAAGAAAAGCCGCTAAATTAAAAGCTCTAAATAATCCTAGCGAAGACAATCTGGAATACTTCCGAATCTCAAAGAACGAAACGACAAAATTGCTCAAAAATAAAAAAAGGGAGTATCTTAAAAATAAAATAATTGAAATAGAAACTAACAGAATCGAAAATAACGTAAGAGACATGTACAAAGGTATAAACAGATCACGAAAATATGTAGGGCCCGTAACGTCTAGAATTAGGGATGATAATAACAATATTCTGACCGATCCGGCTGACATATTGAATAAGTTTAAGGACCACTTTGACAATATTTTAAATACGGGAAATTATGATCTGTGTCCTCCTTCTGAGTACCAGAGTGCTGAACCGTTAATAGAAGGACCAAGTAAAGAGGAAGTTGAAGTAGCTATCGGAAAATTAAAATCATATAAAGCAGCGGGAATCGATAATATTCCTACTGAACTAATTAAGGCATGCGGAGAAGCTGGAGTTTCTAAAATACATCGGTTGGTTAAAAAGATCTGGGTGAACGAGAAATTACCTGAAGAATGGAAAGAATCTATTCTTATTCCGATTCACAAAAAGGGTCCGAGGACGGATTGTAATAACTATCGAGGAATTTCACTCCTTCCGGTGTGTTATAAAATATTCACTTTAATCTTAACCAGTCGAATCACGGAATACGCCGAGGAAATTATCGGAGACTACCAATGCGGATTTAGACGGAATCGTTCGACTATTGATCAAATATTTTCTTTACGGCAAATATTAGAGAAAAAATTGGAGTATAACGGTATTGTTCACCAGCTGTATATAGATTTTAAAAAGGCTTACGATTCTATTGACCGCCAGAAACTGTATAATATTCTAATCGAGCAGGGGATTCCAAAAAAACTAGTAAATCTAGTCAGGATGTGCTTGACGGAGACACTCAATAAAGTTAGAATCGGTAATAATTTGTCCGAAAAATTTGAGGTTCGTTCGGGCTTAAAACAGGGGGATTCTCTTTCGCCTGTCCTGTTCAATTTGGCATTAGAACATGCCATTAGGGAGGTAATGCGAACCGAGAAAGGGTTGGATCTGGGAGGGACAACATCCGTGCTGGGCTATGCTGATGATCTGGTACTGTTAAGCGAAGACGTTGAAACTATAAAACTAAATACGACAACGTTAATGAAAGCCGGGAAAGAACTAGGACTCGAAATAAACGTGGATAAAACAAAATATATGGTTAGCTGCAAAAATGGCAATACTGCTGGTGATATCGATATAGATGGTAATATGTTTGAACAGGTAGATAAATTTAGGTATCTAGGTTCTACGATAACTAGAAAAAACGAAATTGAAGAAGAGATTAAGGTTAGACTGAAGGCGGGGAATGCTTGTTATTTTTCTGTGACAAAACTACTTAGTTCGCGCCTCTTGTCCCGAAACTTAAAAATTAGAATCTATAAAACAATTATCTTACCTACAGTTCTTTATGGATGCGAAACTTGGCCGCTAACATTAAGGGATGAGCAGCGTCTTAAGGTTTTTGAAAATAAAGTATTGCGTAGAATATTCGGACCGAAAAAGGATGAGTTAACCGGAGAGTTCAGACGGTTACACAACGCCGAATTGCGTGAGATGTATCCGGGTAATATAATTGATGTAATTTCATCGCGGCGAATCAAATGGGCTTGTAAAGTTGTTGGGCTTAGTAACGAGAGAATTCCTAAAAGGTTAATATTTGCTGTGCCGAATGGTAAGCGTCCAAGGGGTAGACCGAAGCGAAGATGGGAAGATTGCATTAAAGCCGATCTGAAGGGACTGGGTTTGGACTGCGAATGGTGGAGGAAGGTGTGTAACAAGCGATTGATGGTGTCGGCATCGAACCTTCGGGTTCGCTAAGCCTTATTATTATTATTATTAAATGGCTTAGGTGTGACAGCAACTTTTACCTTAAATTCGGCTAACCGAAAATGCCACTTTTAACGCTGAAACATATTTTTACAATTTTCTCCAAATGGCTCAAAACGATTTTGATTAATTAAATTAAGTTTTGATTAACCTATTAGAAAATTAAATTAGTGAACAATTTGATGAATTTTCCTTTTGGGAAATCACAACATTATCCACTTAAAATTAGCATCACCAATTTTGACCTATCTATGGCAGGCAATGAAAATCTCGTAATTTCATTTTAGTAAACTTTACAATGGAAAATAATGTTTAATAACTAATAGGCGTACAATCCGTAATCATTTATAGGCTGAATACACAATACACTTTCAAATCTCTTTAGGCTTGCACGTAGATATATAGCTGGAGTTATGTGGTTTACAAAAACAAATGAAGTATCAAGGTTTTCATTGCCTATCGTTGATATAATTAATAGGGTATTTGTTATTATAATGGTCTTAATGATTTGTTAGCTGTAAGCTTTAAACTGTAGCTTCATTAAAAATGTACTTCAAAGATTTTATAATAGCCCGACTTTACCAGAAAATAATTCCTATTCAAAGAAGAGCGTTAAGTGAAGGTTTTGTGTCTATAATTAAAAGCTTGCATAAGTTGTGTCTGTAATCGTATGGACAACTTTATAGTCGTTTAAACATAGGCGCTAAAGGAGGTTTTCTTCGCAAACTTTTGAATAAGAGTAATATTATCTGTGATTGTAATGGATAAATTTAATTAGATTAAAAAAAGGCTAATCGAACGGTTTACTTTAACTATAGAAAAGTTCTCCCATCGACTTTAAAAAAGACATAAAGACCTAAATGCAAGAGTGAAATCACACGTCTATCCTTCCAAAAATTGATTGTTATCTTACTAAAATCGGTGAAAATGAAATTAAAATTATAGTTTATTTTTTTCTCTTTGTTTAGAAATACACACTGTTCCAATACAATAGCCATCTTGCCGAAAAGAAGAAGTACCAAAACGGGCATAAAATACTGGTCATGTGTATACTATAGAAGATAAGTACAAAACCAGTTATGTTAATCGACACAACCGGTTAATTATTAGACTTAATGAAGTCTAATGACCTCATGAGATCATTCCTGGTTCAGACTTCAAACACGACGTTCTACCTTCAGTAAGCCTGATATCGCGATTTCGAAAAATAATTATAATTGTCAATAAAATAATATAATTGTCAACTGATGCGGTGACCTTTCTCTAACTTCGGCAGATAATGTTTTATTGGCATCAGAGGAGTTTGTCTATTTCATGTTCACTGGGAAAAATCATTTTCAATTAAGATAATTTTACTATTTGTTCTCTCCCCCCTTTACAATAGGCGCCGTTTTGGAACACACTTCTTGGAGTAAGCAGAACGGTAAAAATTGAATGGTGACGAAGAACATTTATGAGGTTTTATCTATTAAGTAAAAAAAAAAACTTGAGCTGTTAGACTATATTTCCATCTCTAATCCTGAGATTCATCCAGCTAAACTTAACTTCATTATTTCCAATTATAACTCAAGATATCTTGATTGATCAAATTACTTTTAAATCAGTTTATGATCATTTACAAGTTTCATTATGTAAATTTCCCTCAAAATATCATTCTTTCTATTACAATATCGAATAGAAATAACTTTTTTCTAATCATTTAGGTGGGAAAGTATTTTACTCATGGTTGCAACCGCACCTTAATGCTCTTTTTTTAAATTTATTTTTTTCATAGGAGAGCCTAAAGATCTTTTCTTATCTCTTAATTTCTTGCATAGCTGAGTTATATAACTTTTGATAATTTGTTGTCTACCATTCGTATTAGGGACTAGTCATTTGCATGACGTGGTTGGGATTATTAGGTTTAAAAGAAGATATTGGTAACAGCAAACATTTGTCTTAACGACTGGGTTCGATACAGTTCGAAACTTTGCCAATTTTCAACAATAATAATAATCCTATTCAGTTACCTTTAATAATATAATTATGGAAGTTTGTGTTGACAATTTGGAATCTGCTATTAACGCCGAAAAGGGAGGAGCGATGAAATTAGAATTATGCTCTACAAATAATGATGGTGGTTTAACACCATCTTTAGGACTTCTGAGAATAATTAAGAAAAATGTTAATATTCCTGTTATTGTCATGATTCGCCCAAGAACAGGTGATTATATTTATTCAGATGAGGAGATAGAAATAATGTCAGAAGATATTAAAATTTATAAAGAGCACGGCGCCGATGGTTTTGTTTTTGGAATTGTTACTCCTGAGGGTAAAGTTGATGTCAAAAACTGTTCAAAATTAATTGAACAGGCAGGAAATCTCCCAGTTACTTTTAGCAGAGCCTTTGACATTATTAAAGAGCCATTAGAAAGAATGGAGGAAATTATCTCACTTGGATTTGAAAGAATATTGACTAGTGGTCTTCAAGAAACTGCTTGTCAGGGAATTCCTCTGCTAAAACAGCTAATGGAAGCATCAAAGGACAGAATTGTTGTTATGCCTGGAGCTGGTATCAAACCAAACAATCTTCAGTGTTTGTTAAAGGTAGAATTCATTTTAAACACATTTTCTACTATTTAAAAAATACTATACTATCTATTACATGTTTTCATGCTATAATTAGCAACTATTCATAAATTTTAATTTTATTTAGTAAAGTCGATGTATTGGAATATATAGAATCAATCTAATTTCAGATAGGTGGTATCAGCAATTTACTTCTATATAAATAATTATTATAATTTTTATAGTTTGTAAACTATATATTTATAAATATTTAATTATAGAAACTATCAAATTGATTCCTGGTCTTATATGGTCCCTGAAAAAAGAAATTAATGCTATTTTTTCAGTATTTACTAATTTTTATTTTCTATCTTTTCGTGAAATTTAAAGGTATTATTTCCTAATGATGTGATTTGTTAATACAGTTATCACTTTTGTAAGGAGTATTGTAATCTTATACTCTGGTAGGAAAATAGTTTCTGTGGGAATGGTGCAGTTTGCCAATATCAACAAGTTTTATATCAAGCGTTGTTTCTGTTTTGGCTTAGTCATTGGTCACATTTATTCAAATCAAACTTTTTGTATACATTTACTATATAATGGTTAAAATAATATTTTAATTTGTCCTTTGAGATGTCTTGAGTTATCAAATATTTATATGTCATAAATATTGATTTATTTTTCTGTTACTTCAGCCATAGATTGACCATGGGATCAATAGAACCTCCTAGGACATATCCAGCCCTTCTAAAGTGGGCATTCTTAATTAAATAATTAATTAAGTAGAAATACCGGGTGGTTGAGAGTGATCTTGACCCAATCACCTCCCTCCACAGCCACTGGTCTTAAAACTTCCTAACAAAGTACTGATCACCTTCATGAATTGTTGTTGTACATTTTTTTTTCAAATATTTATTTAAAAAATATAGTTATTTGAATGATTAATTGAATATAAAGTATTTCAATGTTTTCAGCAATTAAATATCATTAAACATTTTTTTGTCAATAAGTACTTTGTTTAAGGAAACCAATGCTGTGCAATTTCATGCATCTGCCGGAAAGGTTCTCAAAAAGGATCATTATGTTACTGACAAAAATGTTGTAAGAGATATGGTTACAATATTTAAGTCCATGTCTGGAGGCAAAAAATAAAAACAGACTAAAAATAGTTTGAAGCATTAAATATGGTGAGTCATGAAATTAAGAGTAATGTATTATTCCTCTCGATATGGAATATTCTAAATTTCCTGTATGTTTGGTACACAAATAACGTAAGTAGAACTGTGGAGTTCATATAGAAAATTATTACATAATTATTTTATTCAGTTTGGTTTATTTTATTACAATATTATCATAAACAATATGATACGATTATGGATAATAACACAATCTCTGTATGGCTATTCTTTTGTATGTCTATTTTTTTTATTTGGATTGTTTAATCTTGTTGAATAAAATTTATTGTCTTTATTATGTTTCCATTATATTACAGTTTAGTTTGAACCAATACTTTAATAATCATTTTATGGCAGTTGGATTTACAAAATCTATTGATTTGATAAATTTGATGACAGTCCCATGATAAATGTGCTAGTTATCACAACAACATACGCTATATCACAACAAAATTCACCTCATCATTACTGTATCAATGTTATTCATACTATTTTTTAGATAAACAAATAAATAATAATTCATTATTAAAATTTAAAGCTTACTGATATTTTATTGAATATTAAAATATTTAATAAAATTTATTCAAACATCTTAAGAAAGAATTTAAAAATGAGCATTGCACATGATTCTGTGAATCAATAATTATTAAATAAATAATAGAAATGAAGTAAGAAATAATACTAAACTACTATGGTTTGATTTTTGTACGCTACTCCATCATCTCTTAGAAATTTATTTAATTAATTTTCTTCATTGATGGCAACTTCAGAGACAAACAGTAGTGAATTGAATGTACATTATATTAACTTGTTAGAGATTTGTAGAAATGAATGCATGAAAACCAATAATCACTAAATTACCAAAACTACATAGAACAAAATTATTGATTATTTATTAATTATAATAATACTTTATTTTTTAAAAATCTATTCCCAGGACAAATTCTGTTCTTTACTTCTTTAAATGTCATTATTATTATATAATAATAATAATTAATATAAGTATACAGTTATTTCACTACCAACTTAAAATAATTGAATAATTGAACATGTTAACATTTCTGAATTAAAGTGTTTATTCAAATGTATATTTAGTTTGTTAATTTAAATATTTATTTTTAAGAGAAAGACTCTACGCTCACTTCAATAAAGCCAGTCACTTAAGCCAGATTAATGATTTTAGATAACTGAAGGAAATTAAAACAAAAAATTCCAAATAACTTTTTATCTACAATATTTAGTTTTATTTATTAAATTTTTACAGTAATCCAGCAGCATACATGACATTGGTCAATGGCTGCCTTAAAAATTTGGCAACTGGGAAAGTTTTTCATGAGCCCCATCTTCTTCCAAAAACTAAAAATATAATTTAGGAGGAAATGAAACACACTTGAAGAGCATTGTAAATTTCTTTATATTTGAATTGTGTTTCATTTAATTTCAGCAACTAGTAAATTAATTCAGCAACTAATTCAGTTGCTATATTGATAGGGTTTCTAATTTTTGATAACCCTCAACATGAGATTGGAGGGCTGCCCTATCCTAAAATAAAGCTATTTGCCTATAAAATTGCCTATAATTACTTGCTTTGCTCTTTGCAAGACCAAGACTGGTAAAAAAATATTAAGACAAAATATTTACCAGTACATGACAATTTTAGCTACTATATGTAAACAATTGGTATAACCGATATACTTTTGCATTCAATTCTTCCAATTTTTCATTCCAGCATAGTTAGGTTTCCCCTATCTGAAAAATTACGCTAATACCTCTATAGAAAAAAGCTAATAGGTAACTGCAAGACCAATACCATAAGTTAGTGTGTAAGACCAAGCCTCCTCTTGGTCTCCCATTTGGGCAACACTAATATGGAGTAATATTTCATGGATATTATTTTGTCTCTTCCCTCCCTATTAGTAGTAAATACCTATTAATTATATCATAATTTCCATTGTAATGCAATAAATGTCACATATGTAACCTTTAGCTATCCCCAATCCTTAAAATGCCCTCGGGCAGTGGAAGGAATTTATTACATGTTTATATTGTATTATTGTATACTATATATGTAATTGTTTCAATAAACTTTTTGGAGGGTAAGAAAAAAAAAAAAAAAAAAAAATGCAATAAATGTATGACCAAAAGGAACCTGTAGAGTGCATTGAGAAGGGGAGACGATTTGACTTAAGGAATACTTAATTGGTGAACATATTATAAGTCTAAGATTCTATCCTTGCTACTTCATTGTGAAGTGAAGTACTGACAAGTCCTTTTCTTCATTTTTTTTTACTTTTATCTGAAAGTAATACGTCTATAGAAAACCTTGTTCCATCTTATATTAAAGCTAATAAAACTTCCTTTAAGAACGGTTTATTCATTCTGGTCGTACCTTTTATAATTTTTAAGACGTTTGCTATCTTTAATCGACAATTTCCGGAAGACATATTCGTCGGCATGAAGACGAACTGCTTTCACTTTTATGAGTTGTTTAGGTTAGCTTAGAATATATTTTATCTTTTGCAATACATAACCAGTTATAACCGGAGTGATAAAATAATTGAAAACCTGTTTAACCTAAATGAAAATGGCCGGTTTTCGGAATGTTTACTCCCATTCTTTTAATTCGTTCCATCCTTTCCCAAATGTTGTTAAACATTATGGAGCAGAATTGCTTCTTCCGGAAACAATGGAAATATAAAGGGAGGATAAGCAGATTTCCATTTAGAAAGTGTGGTCTAAACTCACTTTCGTTGGCATTAAGAACTGCTCTTGTTTGTTCTATTAATTAAAGGTTATTTTCTCTGTTATATACACAGAAACATTCTTAATTTGATGAGATTTAAACATCAATCCACCTAACAGCTCTGAATGAGATTGCATTACTTAATAAACCTGTATGAGTAAACGCCTTATGCAATACCTTGTTTCTTTAGAACTGAAAATTCGTTTTTCACGGTTACTGTAAGAATTTTTTTCAGTCTTTTCCATGTGTTAGTGTTAGAAACCATTTGAGCTGGAGCTTATCCCTTTCTAGTTCATTTCTTCATCATGGAAGTTTGTGTTGACAATTTGGAATCTGCTGTAAATGCTGAGCTGGGAGGAGCTATGAGATTGGAATTGTGTTCTGCCTTAAATGATGGTGGTTTAACACCTTCAATTGGATTCTTAAAAATAGTTAAGAAAAAAGTTAAAATTCCTGTTTTTGTCATGATACGTCCTAGGCCTGGAGATTTTATTTACTCTGACGATGAGATAGAAATAATGTCAGAAGATATAAAAATTTTGAAAGAATGTGGTGCTGATGGTTTTGTTTTTGGTATTACTACATCTGAGGGAGAAGTTGACATTAAAAACTGTTCAAAACTAATGAAGTTAGCACGAAGTCATCCTGTCACTTATCATAGAGCATTTGATGGAGTTAAAGATCCCTTGAAGAGCATGGAGGAAATTATTTCACTAGGATTCCAAAGAATCTTAACTAGTGGTCTTCAAGGTAGCGCTATTCAGGGAGCTTCTCTTCTTAGGCAACTAATTGAATCATCAAGAGGCAGAATTATTATAATGCCAGGAGCTGGTATCAATCCTGAAAATCTTCATATTATACTGAAGGTAACTTAAATTTTAACTTATTCAATTTCTATGATATCAGAGGTAAACTGCACTATGTCATTTTTATCAACCTTTTTGATCAGCAGTTTAAATATTTTTTGCACCCTGTAACAAATTTTACTTTGGCCATTGAGGTGAAAGTTCACTCTTAATATTGAAGGAATATATAAAGCTAACTAATAAGGTAATTTCATTCACAACATAACCATATTGACATAGTACAGTTTAAATTCATTTATTTCAGTTTTTCCAGATATAGTGTTTAAATAATGGATTTATTTTTTTTGTTTTATTTGTTTAGTTATTTAAGGAATTATTCCTGTAGATATTGTGACATTAAAAAATTTAATAGTAATTTTATTTTTAAAGGAAACTAATCCTGTAGAATTTCATGGATCTGCAAAGGCTCCCACTAAAAAGGATTGTTACATTACTGATAAGAATGCTGTCCGGGAAATGGTTACGTTATTTGAATCAATGTCTGAAAACAAAAGGATGAAACACCACTAAAAAGTAGTGTGACGAATGTGATCCATTTATAACACTGCATCAATTATTCACTTATTTTAATTTTTATATAAATAAATTACAAAGGTTCAATTACTTTTTCAATCCTATTTAATAGTTTATTAAACTATTACTATTTTTACAATATGGTAATATGCCATGTTGGAAATATAGGTTATTTTTTACTGGAGACTATGTTTGTATCATATAACATATTTCCTGCATGATTTTTCAATAATTATATTTCTGTTGTACTGTATGCTGTTATCATACTGTAGATTATTTTGTTATTTCAAGTTACATATTAGTTAGGTCTGGTTTACATCATTTATAGTTGATCATTTTATTTTAAATAATTGAATTGCACACAATAGGCCTGAAAAATGCAGTGCATTGTGCCACACACTTAAAAACAAAATATTAGATTTATTATGGTACAGAGATGGTTGACCATGATTACAATGTGGGGAGTTGGTCGGGGGTCTGGTTAAATTAAGTACTAATAGTATTTATTTATATACTATTTTATTGGTTATACCGATGTTTTGACCCACTTTGTAGGTTTTCATCAAGAATACAAAATATAAATTGGTACAAGGTAAAACATATAATAAAAGAATTATTTGTAGACATTAAACAAATATCAGTTGCCTGATAATGAATTTGTTTTATCAGAAAACTAGTATTTGTTTAATAACTACTAATAATTCACTTATTTTATTTTTTACCTAGTACTAATTTATATTTTGTACTCATCATATTAAATTTATTGTTTCAATGACGTAATTTTATGATATAAGGAAGTATTGAGGGTATTAACTTACATTTAACATCAAACTTGTTTGAACTTACATATTACACAGATGTATAAATAAATAAAAAAATTTACCTCTGTTATATTTAGACTTTCATTTTTTATTAACTAAGTACTGTTAAATAGACAGTGAAGACTAGAAATCGCAAGTGATACAAGTACCTAAAAATCGAAAATGCTATTTTGAGTTAAGTATGGAATTGCATCGTAAAAATTATGGAATAAGATATATAAAATTTAAAATTTTATATTTGCCATACAAAATAATAATTTATATGTTGCTATTTATTTAAATTTTTAAATAAATAACTTTTTTTTTAGTTTTCCATTAATGAAGCATACCAATCTAGTTAGAATACAATTTCATTTATCTTAAGCCAAATATCTATATGTGTGAAAAGTAATAACAGTATAAGTGAAAATGACATTTGGCATTTGTGAGTCATGGCCTTCCAATCAGCATAAAAATGTTATTGTGAACGGAATCAGAGAGGTTGTTAATTTGGAAAGAGAAAAGGATTGATGAAAGGGAAAACCCCTGAGGAAAACCACAAGCTTGTAATTGAGGGGAGGAAGGAGTTTTATTGGGAATGATTATTGGTAGGGATCTACGAAACGAAAAGGAATGAAAACTACTTTGGTTTAGATGTTTAAACAACAATATAAACTACTTTTTCCTTATGAAGGGTATTAATATACAGAACTTAATAGGTATAAAAATACATTTCATTAATTATTCTGTTATTTGCTATCACAGTTCAATAAATTTTATATATTTAATAAATAAGTTCATATTTACATAAATTAATACTTGGGTTAAATTAATTGAGTTACTAATAGTATTTAATTCACAGAATCATCCTGTACAAAGTGGAAGCCTTTCTGCATAATCATAAAAGCAACATGCCTTGGTAAGGCCATTTCAAGTTGAAGTATTGAAAATTAACTTTTGCAACATAAACATTCAGACAGAATAACTAGCAAACACATGGGTGAATTAGTTTCTATAGCTAACTTTCTGGAATTGATCAATGCAGATTTCCTTTAAATGGGCTCATAAAACTCTTTTTATAACTCATGAATACAATATTGATATTTATAATAATTTCAAGATCTATACAATGTTAATACAACCTTTTACCTTGTCCCTTAAACAGTGGTTATAAGGTATTCCAGGAACGTTAATTGGTTTTTGTGGTGTGTAGAATAAAGGTGCCCATCATATTTATAATGCATGGCACAGGCAAGAATTTTCCATATTGAGGAATACCACAACTGGATTCTTCCTTTATTGCTATGCCTTGTCACCTTTACAATAGTTTCTAAAATATAGTACAGGTGTTTGTAACAAACATTTTTCTCTTTACTAAATTTTATATCTCATAATGAAAATCGTTAATGTTAATAACTATTTATACAATAAGATGTATGAAATGGTTTAGTTTATCAAACATGCTAACAAAAATTGCAGACTTTAATTTAAAAAAAAATACATAATTAAGGATACAAATTTAAAAACCTACTGGCCAGCCATATGCTATTTTCAAATCCCCAGCAAATTCCACATTTCCAAATCCACTTTGCACGACATGTGTCTGTTGTTGGGAACCCCTTCTGTAGAAAATTCTTATAACAAGTCCTTAAGTAATTGAATCACCATCTGTTAAGGTTAAGAAAATCTTCACTCTTTGGTTAAAAGAAGCAATAATAAAGTGATTGGGGTTCTATCCTTTGTTGGAAATTTTATTCAATGTCTCCAAATAAAATCCAATTAATAGTTCGTATTTTTTTATCTCAGTTGGTAAAACTTACCAAGCTCTAGTAAGAATCATTTTAAATAATAGAGCAAATGTATAATTATAATGTGAATTCCATTTTTTTTATTTTTAACCTTGTTGAAACCGTTCATGCTTCCCTAATTTCTTTAAATACTCTTTTTTGATTCCCTCAGTCTGAGGCCCAGATCAAATACTGAGAAATTTATGTATTTCCTATACACACAACTTAGCAATTAGCCATATATTATTTCATTAATATGATATTATCAATATTTGGCTGAAATCTTTTGAAATTCTTGTTTTAAACTTCAACTCAATGCTAAGAATGTTTTCGAACATGATGCACTTCCATTAATGTTTATTTCATTAAAATTCAATCCAAAAATCTACAGAACAATATTTGCAAATATACTTCTCGATAGATTAGTTTTTTGATCTTTTCTGTCAAGATAAAATGTTACCAAGTTTTTTATTTCTGACCTGCTTAAATCGCCCATTAAACACAGAAATCTAAAAAGATGGTCCTCTTTGATATCAGGATATTTATCACGTAGTGTGTGTATATCAAGAGTTATAATTTCAGAATCTTCACTTTTTAATATTTCTGCAAGTGAGCGAATAGCCTCGAATGGAGTATCAACTCTCTCTGCTACTTTTGGTGCAATTCTGCTGAAAAAAACCTTTAATTGTTCAACTTCTTTTATTATTTTAGTAGCAGCTGCTTTACGATCATCATGAGTTCGAAAAGAAATTTTTCGTTGAAATAATGCTGAAATGTACCTTCTGGCTACAAGATTTTCTGCTTCAGTTATAACATATTCAAAGTTTTTAGCACGCAAATGAACATAATCTTGGAAATAATCTTCTAAAGTGACACAGACCGTATCAATTGGAATTGAACTACTGACCCACTTTGCAGTAATAAGATCTTGAAAATGAGACTCCAAATCAAGAAATGCTTCATCCAGAAGCCATTGAACAGCTTCATCTCTTAGGTCTTGAAATGTTTTTAATAAAGACGAAAATATAATAGAGGATTCATTATTTGTCAAATCAGACCTCCAATAATGTTGCTTCATTTGTTGGGCAAGCTCAACAAACAACATACAATTGTTAACAATTGTAATCATGTAATGAGTAAAATAAAGCACTTGACTTCTGTCTTCAAAATGCCTTGTTTTAAATTCGACTATAGCATTTCTATACAAATGCCCATACTGCTTAACTTGTTTCATGCTTAAAATTAAAGCTTTATCAGTGAGATCTTGCCCTATAGTTTTGGTAACTTGGAGGTTCTGATCGATCATTTGAAAAATAATCACAGGAGCTGCAGTGTGAAAATGACCTTCTTGATCAGCTTCAGAAGGTATTCCAGCACTCCAGTCATTAGTTTCTGTCTGCAAAGTCTTCTTCATCCATTCTGTGTAGTTGTCCTCCATATTTTTCAAGTATTGAAATTGTAAATTGTTTATGATTTTTCTTGACAGAAGAGGCTCCAGAGAATTGGTGTTTATATTCAAATCAGTATGTTTCATTAGTTCTGGACCAAAATATGTATTAACAACCCAGGAGAGCATTGACACATATTCATTTCCTTCTAAACCATAACTAATTATTTCTTCAAGATGTTTAGATAAAGAATTGTGATACATAGACACAAATCTATGGACAATATTGTAATGAGGTGGAAAGCAAGGCTCACAAAGTGTTTTCACAACCTTCAAGTCTTCTAAAAGTAACTGACGTGTTAACTCTAAATGTACAACAAGCCACATTTTGTTACTAGATCTTTCTTCCACCTGTGTTCCTTCAATCCTCTGGTCTACTGATTTTTCTAGAACTTCCATCACCATATCTTTCCATTTTTTAGGTCTTCCTGGAGCAATGAAACCACTTTGCTTTTGTCTCTGAAGAGCGAAAACATCCTTTTTCTCTTCTTTATCAATTATTCTTAAAGCAGTAACAATAATAGTTGGCTCTTTACGGACTGTATTAAGAGTTCGGGACAGGACAAGCCTTAATTGTTTTTCTAGTAACTGAGAGGCAGCTTCAACATCTTCAAACCAAGCTTTCAGTAATATCTTATCAGCAGGTGCTTGGTTTGGAACTTTATGCAATTCATAAAGCAGATCATCTCTGGAATTTTCCAAATCGCTTAAACTATGGTGAGCAAACAATAGTTTCCCTTCATTGATCCATTGCTTTGTTTTTTCTACACTTTCTGGTACTGAAAACAAATTTTTCAAATTATCAACTGCTGTCATATACTGTGAATGTTGTCGATTTTGAGATCGAACACTTTGTAGTTTTTTAACTAATTCTGGCAAATCTTGAAGTAAGTTGTTTACAGTCATAAGATTAGACTTAATTTCTTGTATTTCTTGCAGTGCAATAGACAATTGGCTCAACCCTACACAGACCCCATCTAATTGACTCTGCATTGTCGTTTTTAGCATTGCTTCAACTGATACTTTTTTTCTAGTCACCCTTCTTTTATATTGTTCCACCTTTTCTAGCTGCCCTGGTCTTTGTAGCATATTAATTACATGTTTAGCTGCCGTAGCTTTAGCCTGTTTTTCTAGTTGTTCGATATCCATATCAAAAATACTAGTGACAGTACTATCTAGTTTTTACATAACATAATACTGATTATAACCTCTTGCAACTTATACAAGAAACAATGACAGTTTCTATCGATAAACAGTCCATAGAACTAAACTTTCACTTGAGATCTCTCTCGCTCTCATTACTATAACATTTAAAATATTGTTTTTGTACAGAATTTAAAATATTGTTTTTGTACAGAATAAAATATTGAATTTGTACAGAAACAAAAAAATTCCTTGGTAGTATGAAAAAAAAATATAAAATGAAGTTTTATTTAAGTTTTATTTTTAGTGTTTATAATTAAGTGCAATATCGTAATTGGTTTCCATACTATTTTTAAGAAAACACCTATTACAGCCTCCTTTGCTTTAAACTTACTCTTGTCAATTTGATATTAATTAAGTTGAACATCGCCATATTAAGATTTACCTCTTGTAGTAAATAGTAACATAGTAAAGGAGTTTTATTTTAAACAATGGCCATGCAGTTTCATTTTCTTTTGTATTCTTACCTTGCCCTAGGCTTTCTGCCTGACGTAGTTCTACGTACATACATCCAGCCTTATGGCCAGTTGTGCAGTACATTGGTATACTGGGAAAAGAAACGGGTGGGTTTCCAGGTACGATTTATGAGAGTTGATTTTTAACTTGTGGTAGATAAATTGCTTTATTATTAATTACATTTTACCCACAATATAAATAAATCTCTACATTCATATTATTAAGGCTTATGCGAGTAAGTTTTAGCAGAAATAAAGGAATATGTCGAATCTAACTAATAATTATATATATATATTAGGCTGAACATCAACAATTGTCGGCAATCCCAAATCTAAACTCTCAACTCTCATTATTTTTTTTTAATGGAGGAAGATTACTAAACGTAATATTTTAGATACGTTCTGGTTCAAATTTAATTTTTTATAAAAAGCTGAATATTGGAAATACTTGTCTTGAACAAACCGCTCATTATCCGGAGGTAAACTAGTCTCTCGTTCGGGTCTCCGGTTGGGTACAGCTTTAGGGGATTTATGACGCAAGTTGACAAATAGGGATTTAGGTATAGGTACGTGTAGAGATGGGCAAATGCTAATCTGAGTACTGAGTACCGGGTGCTTTAAGTACTGATTTTTTCTGAATTTAAACCAAATATTTAGTTAGTACTTCAGCTGATATCAAACGATTCACTGAAGCAGTGATTGATTTTCCAATAGTGATTCAATTTGAGTTAAATACTAAGTATTCGGTACTCCATAATAGCATTTAACCATTTCTGGGTATGTGGAATGTTAGAAGTTTGAATTAAGCAGGAGGGTTAAAATCGGTCGCGAACGAGGTTGATGAGTACAATTTTGATAGCGTAGCTCTACAAGAGGTTCTCTAGCCAGAGGAGGGCTCGATAAGAAAAGGTACACTATTTGGTACGGAGGAAGCGGAAATCATTGTTTAGGTACTGGGTTTTTATTTAGGAATAGATTGCTATACGCTTTGAGGGACGTAAAATTAATTAGTGATAGAATTTCGGTAGCCATATTTCAAAGACGTTGGTTTAAAATAAACACACATTGTCCGATTGAAGACAGTGGTGACGAAGTCAAATGCGATAGTTTGGTAGGAGAGGAAGAATCTGAGAATAGTTCCCATCAAGAACCATGCTTTTCTTTTGAACGATACGGCAGACAGGGCTTTTCCTATTATCCTGAACATACCAGAAAAATGATATATTCAAACGGAGTTGTCGCCTACCTCGGCCTAAGGATTGGTCGAAAGCTCAATGTGACGCCTCACTTGGACTACCCGTGAATTAGAGTGACACTTGACCTTTAATATGTATATTCATTAATTTAAAGAAAAATGCAAAATTTTAAACTTTTTCGACTTAAGTTTATTGAGTTATAAATTAAAAAAAAACAAACAAAAAAAAACAACGAAAAACGGTACGTTTTAAAAATATTTTTTGGGGGTATTTCAAAAAAACTGTTTGACCTAGAAAGGTTGAACAGGTGTCATATTTTTCACTTGTTTATGATATTTATTTTGATACTCTATAATGGTGTTTTTAGAGTACCATCAGTTATGTCATATACCATACAACAGGGGAGCCCAGAAGGGAGTTTCATGGCGCAAAGTGCGCTATCAAAATTTATGAGGGGAGCATATTTTGACGGGTTTTTGAATTTTTGAGGGGGGGTAAATTTCGATGGGATTATGAATTTTCGGACTAATGGAAAAGGAGAAAATCATGGAATATATTGCAACATGTGTAATTGTATATGATCTACGATTTTTCTACTTCTAGCTTAGCTGCTCTGTTTTAAGAAAAGGTGAGCAATAAAATATCTTGGATGGAGGGGACCAGGTTCTTGCGCCATCGACCTTGGGGTGATGAGCACCCCTGCTATACACTAATCAGTGAAGAAACAAATGAATCAACCATCATTTTACATAAGAAGGTAAATAACTAAAAATAAACTAAGTGCAACTTGAACTTTGATTTGTAAATATTGTATTCAAGATTTTGTACTTCTTTGGATAAACTTACACGTAAGTAACAAAATAAAAATATATATGTTTAAGTTTAAATAAAAAAAAAAGTATATTCTAATTTTGGCGGACATCGATAGCGTTTCTAGTGTACCTATCGTAGGTCAACATTTTTCATCTTGTGAACCCATTTTTTCTCCACTTTGAAATTTGGCACATCCTTAACAACCATATGTTAGGATAAAATATAAGTTTTTAATAAAAATCAAAAGGTTTTTTTTTTCTCCAAAATTCAATAATAAAGATTTTCTTATTTTTTCAAATGTATTTTTAGAATATAGTTTTTTAGTAACAAATTTTCACATCAGTTATTCATATTAAAATATTATGATATTACTATTAATTTCTGAATAGTATATACTTATATACGTATTTTAGTTGTATAAGCTTTTCCATAAAAATTACGTATTCAAAGTTCTCAGATAAAAGTTTTTATGCGAAATTGGTATCGTTACAGATGGTGGTAATGATAATCGAGAGCTTCAAGACAACAAAAAAAACAATGTTCTTTGATTATAAAAGAACGCTGAAGGTGACAACGCCGACCCACGATAAGAAGGAGATTAGAAAGAAGAGGAAAAGGAAAATTATGGGCACAGGTATACACTCCAGTCAATATAGGTATAGGAATAGGTTTAATATAGGTCTTTATAGGTGATGGAGTAGGGTTGCCGAGCGGTTTAACGCGTATGAAGAACACGTATTGCCTGGCAATCTTATAAACCGAACTTCAAATAATAAAATAATTAAGAGTTTGCGTTGCGGGGAGAGGGAAGGGAGGCTTTTTATCTCTGACATTAATCGATTAATACATTAATAACCTGCCTTATAAAATGGAAGAGGTGAAAAAAAAAAAACAACAACTCAATATAGGTGGATAAACTGCGATCTCAATGGGCAGAGTGGTCAAGCGAAGTGCAAAATTCAAGTTTCTCGGCAACCTGTGGTATTGTAACTTTGGCATTAATTCCCTGCCCTCTCCTCTGGCCTAGGAAAAGCACCCATATAATCGAAAAGGCGAGGCAGTGAGAAGAAAAAATCCTGCTGCCTCCGTTAGTATTTGTGCGGCATTGACAAATAGCATCTCTAGGATTAATCAATATTTAATTTCATTTCGACAACATGAAAATGGAAATTTTTATATACTGTATGCTTAAATTAATAAAAACGGGGTGGCGGCCGATCTGAAGAATGAGGAAAGTCAGGCAATCTTTTTAGTACGTATATATTTTTTTCTAATAGGAAATAAATATAAAATGTGTATTTTTTATAACCTGAATGGGTTAACTTCATCGTTATAAACGACCACTGTCGCTATATTTATCCACCTTTCACTAACAATAACGCCACTGATCGATATATTGAAATCAAACAAGGATAATGAATAAAATTTAAGCAAAATAGAATTAACAATGCACTTTGAAAAGAAAAACATACCAGTACTGTTTACTATTTGTAATATATACATCTATGGCTCTTTTTACTTTCCTGCCTATAGTAGTAAAGAAAATATTGCGATCGGGTTAAATTTCAGATAATCGGTTTTCGACGGATCTATTATTTTCAGAACCCCTGAGTCCGAAAACCACATTTTTAGTCATTGGTCTGTCTATCTGTGCCAAATTATCTCGGGAACTAGGGAATCGATTTTGTTACTTCTTTTTTTTGTTTTTGTTTCGTAGGGTTTAGACTACTGATGCCGTTGACACAAATCGGGTGCTCCATGCGCAATAGCTGCTGCGCAATAATGGAAAACATGTTTTTCAATAGACTGTAGCGCGAAAACGGCTCTAAAGATTTTGATGAAACTTTTCTATAATGTTCTAATAATTGTCCTTTCAATTCCTTGTCCTTCCGACCGAAGGCCTATTCGATTTCCATCTTACATTGGTTGGCACGGGTTCATATCCTGGTGTCAGAAAGGGGTGAATGAGAGAAAAAAAGATAACTAAGTAAAAGTAAAAAAGTCTGTTGCCCGCACTTCATTATTTCCTCTACTTTTAACAGAAATTATTGATTGACAAAATTAGGCTATGGCAAAAAGTTTTTGATCAGCAATATGAGAGGGTATTATAATTTTTAAACTGATCTACCTTAAGCCGGTTTACATTGCTTTAGTTTATCAAATAAATCTTATTCAAATCTTTTCTTTGATAAATTATCAGGAAAATAAATCTAATTCATTTTTTTTTGTTTCTTGATGGACATATGTAAAGATATAAAAACTTTTCTGAAATATGAAGGAAAGTCGTGTGAGTGGACACACCAGATTTTATCTTTTTTTTATAAGGTATTAATCTTCTTAGCGGTAATTCTCTCTATAGATAAACGTACATTAGAACATTTTTCGATCTAAGAATGTAGAGTACGGACTAACATGTTAAAAAATTGCGTTTCACCTCGTTGGATATGTCAGCACCATCATAATTCTCACGAATTTGCCACTGAACTGAAAGAGAACGCTAATTATTTTTTTTAAAAACCATATTTTGTTGGGAGTAGAATCATTGTAGCCATCGTTGAAATATTTTAGTTTGAGGTGCATCAAACGAACCGTGAATTGATTTTTAATATTCGTTAGTCTTTTTGTGTAAAATCTGTCTTAACGCTAATTGTGAGTGGAGTAGTATGAAAAATGGATTTCATCGTTGGTAGATCGTTGTTTTTTGGATTTAAAAGATTCACCCTTTTAAATCCAAAACGACGATCTACCAAAATTTAAAAGATTCATTACCAGGCAAATCTCCCAACACCTCTACGTCCTACAGACCAATTAGCCTACTTCCAATCCTCTCCAACATCTTCGAAAAGATCCTCCTGAAACGAATCCTACCTTTTATAGAATCCCAAAATCTTCCTTCACATCAGTTCGGATTTCGTTCACAACACTCGACAGTCCAACAAGGACTGCGAGTGGTCGATCATATTTCCGCAGCACTGGAAAGCAAGCAATATTTCTCGGGTGCTTTTCTGGACATAGCTCAAGCTTTTGACCGGGTATGGCACGCCGGGCTTCTTTCCAAGCTGAAAACCTACTACCCCAGTCCTTGTACCTAACCCTCTCCGCTCCTACCTCTCTGATCGCACCTTTCGGGTTCGCTGTGGTTCAGAATTTTCCAACTCCTACCCAGTTGAAGCCGGTGTTCCTCAAGGTAGTGTCTTGAGTCCCGTCCTTTATATCCTTTTTATCGCCGATATCCCTATCCATCCCAATACCTTCCTGACAACATTTGCTGATGACACCGCCATCCTATCATCCAACTAAGATCCCGAAATAGTATCTTTAAATCTGCAAAGGCATCTCTCCATGATTGAGCACTGGTGTAATAAATGGCGCATCAAAGTAAACGAATCCAAATGCAAACACATTACATTCACACTCCACCGCTGATCCTGTCCATCAGTCCACTTTAATTTCATCCAGCTTCCTTTTTCAGACACAGTCCGGTATCTTGGCTTTATCTTAGACCGAAGACTAACGTGGAACCCACATACTAGACTTAAAGACAAGAACTTAACCGACGATTCGGCCAATTATACAGACTACTGACTAGAAAATCTCAACTTTCAATTGACAACAAATTACTGATCTACAGAACAATCCTGAAACCCATTTGGACCTACGGACTCAAACTTTGGGGGACAGCAAAATTCTCTAACATCAAACGTATCCAGTCCTTTCAATCCAAAGTCCTCCGAACAATAGTCGATGCTCCGTTCTATGTAACCAACAAAACCCTACATCATGACCTTAATATCCCATTTGTCCTTGACCTGATCCCTGAAAATTTTTCAATATTCCATCAGAACCTTATCAATCATCCAAATCCCCTAGCCCAATCCCTATCTAGTTCCACTCACCCCTACAACCCTCCTCGAAGGTTGAAGTTGCAGTGGCCCAGAGATCTTTTATAGTATTTATTTTGGAGTTCTGGCAATGGCCAGATTCTCCACTCAAGACATGAGTGTATGTGGCTAAAGCGCTCTTGCTCAAACTCCAAACGGCTTTAGCACCAGTGAGGCGGTTGAGAGAGTAGCGCAGGGATTTGGGTTCCCCGCCTGATTGTATATAGGTATGACTGTATTTTTACGTTTTTAATTTACTTATATTTAGGTTATTTTATTTTTTTATTGTATATAGTTTTTATTTATTATTATTTATTTATTATTTTACTTTTGTTAATTTTTTTTTTTGTATGTACGGTGTGAATTTGTTCATTTATCAATATAATTATTGTTCTCGACAGAATATTATATGTCTAAATAAATAAAAAAAAAAGATTCACCACATTGAGCCTGCTATCTCGAATAGACTTAGAATATTTTTAAAGTTATGGAAAGACTTAGGTTTAATTCTTGAGCCAGGCTAATGTTGGACTCATCCCTCTCCAGTGGGAAGCTGGAATTTTTTTTCCAAGGAAAAACTTCTTGCTCTTCCATATTCTTATTACAATACTAAATAGAAATATGAATTTAACGGTAAGAGTGGGTAGTGGTAGTTATTATTGGCAAACGATTGATAGAGTAAAGCTGTTGGGAGCTGTCTAAATGATAATGATACCTATTATCAACTAAAGTAAACCAGGAGCCAAAAAAAGGAGAGGAAGGTCAAGACTTAGATGGATTGATGTTGTACAACACTAGTAGATCTAGGATTTAATTTTGAGGGAGAGGAGGCTTTAGCCCGAGAGGTTTTTTTCACATATATATAACAATAATTACTTTTATTAAGAAAGAAACTAATTACCTGTATGAAATGGTGTTTAAGTGATTCTTGATTATGATGATTATGATAAATCCTATTAAATGTAATTACACCAACAAAAATACTTTAAGAGATATATTTTGTTTTCATAAAATATAGCTATGTTTTACCATTTGGGGAAGAGATTCGGCTATGATGTGGAGGACAGAAGATGGAAATTGGACAATGGAGAAGCCGGCCGTTGGTAAGGAATATTGGAGAGGCGTTGTTGTGGAAGCCAAGGCCCTACAAGGGCTGTAAAGCCACGGAAGTAAGTATCTTTTTCCCTTCCCAATTATCCTCAAATCGGCTTGATGTAAAATACATTTTTCTTATCTCTCATTACAAAGAGGATGGGACGCTGAAAATTTCTCTCACTTACAGTATGCAGCTCCGAATTGTAGTTTTAAAGATATTTTAATCCAAATATTAAAAAAAAACTCGATATCATTTGGTTTCGACACCATATTTTTCCTCTTTTGCCTAACTTACATGCGTCGCTTGAATATATAATTTTGAATAATAGCTCATTACAGCGAGGATGAAATGATGAACATTTCCTTCGGTTACGGGGTACAGTTCTGATTTTTAGTTCTGAGATATTTTAATGCAAATACATTCATTATATTCTAGCCGACTCGAGTCGATTTTACCCTAACGAGGGTTACATAGCCGAGCAGGATGACTGAGTCTCATCAAAACCCTCAAAATGAAGTGCTAAGCGCGCCTGAAGGACTTTTCACTTCGTAAAGTACGAGGAGCCACTTAACGGTTTGAATTCTTAAGGAGTGGCAAATGAAAGTGGTCCTAGGAGAAGGTGGGGGAGAAGGAGAGGCATCAGTGCTGCCTCTATCACCGCCCTGATATCTCCCGGACTCAGTTCCTTCCGAACGGCGACCGCTGGATGAGGTATGTACTTCGAGGGATCTTATAGTGTAGTGTCGCCTCTTCTCATTATGTCCGCGAACCTATCAACCTAGGTTCTAGCGAAACCTATCAACCTAGGTTCTAGCGAAACCTATCAATGGGATGTACTCGATTGATCGGCTTGTCTCTGCTTAGATTGCCATTTTTAAAACGTTCTTATCTACTCGTTTCAATCCATCAATAGGATAATTATGATTTCCAATCGGTTCTCATTGTCTTTTGAAATGAGAATATTGCGTCACTATAAGATGGAAAAGAGAGAGCAATTATTGTACTCTTATGTTTGTAAATATAGTTACCATCTTCGTATTTTTCTCACAAATAATTGACATTATTGAAGGATAGTTACTGTACTGTTAGTTTAAGGTAGATGAAACAGTACAGTTAAATTTTTTTAATATTATGAGAATAGTTGTACCCAATGTTTCACTCAAAATCATTGAAAAATCAAATGTCAACCACTTGCAAAACAGAAAAGAGTTGATACACAGTGAGTTATTCAACAACTTGAAGAGCGATTTAACACTATCGAGCTCATAATTATTAAGGAATTCTGTCTTATTTTTATACTTAGGTATACCAGCCACTAAGGCGACATATGCTGAACTTTAAGCATTCGCAATAACCGGTGGGGAAAACGGGTCCTCTGTAGTAAATCATTTTACGGAGCTTTAAATTAGCTTGGAAATATTTACGTTAATAATATGTTAGAAATATATTTTATCACTTAAAGAAAATAGATACTAATATATTTTTTAATACATTTATAATCTGTGATCTTGACTGATTGTAATTTTGTTGAGACCATATTTGATTACATTTTCGTTAAGATGAAGAAAATACGTCAAATTAATTTTTATTTTATGTTATTATTATTTTTTATGTTTTTTATATTTAGTCAGGGACCTATCAGCAATATTATTGTGTTGCGAAAAGTATATACTTGACGTGTTCTCCAAATATCAATACGAATTTATATGTTAATGGAAGAAGCTTCAAAATAATTGTTAGGATTTGGTTATATCATAATATGTATTGTTTATATTTGAGCGAAACTAACTAAAAAAAATCATTGGTATTTGGAATCCTTCGTGTGTATTGGGATATGGAATATATCCTTAAGAGAAACTTCAACATATAGTCTATTTATTTACCTGATAAATCCTATGAATTTCTAGTAACTAATAGAAGTTACTGAATATATAATCAAATAAAATAATCCTTTTTATAAATATTGAAAAAATAGCATTCATAATTTTAGTTAATTCATAAGAAAAACGATAATAAGAGTCATCAATCTAAAAAAAAAAAAAATCAAAAATATTTTATATGATTTTTTAAATTAACATAAACCATACAAATCCTATATAATCTTAAGACCAAATAAATCATTACTTTAAATTAATATAAATATTTGAAATATCAAACGATAATTACTCAAATTGTACTGAATCTCTGATTTATGATGAATGTATATACGATAAAGTTGAAGACACAAGCGATTTTATTTTTCCAAATCGATAAAGAGTAGAATTTGTCGAATAAATAAAATTTGACTAATTAATCCTGTAATTTTTCAATTATTGTAATTGTTAGATATTGTAATATTATCAACAAAAAAACTGATTGAGCTCAGATGTTGCTGAATCTTCCAGATTGAGCGGCGATTGATAAGGCACTCACGAGTGAACGTATCTTGGTACACAACTGAGTCAATAATGCAAGTCAATTCTTAATTATTGATTCAAATAATGATTTACAAATTTTAATTAATGTACCGGTGATTAAGTAAACAAAAATTAAAATATTTCGTAACATGCGTTAATGTTACGAGGGGGCTCGTTTACACCTATGTATATATATCCCTGAATTAATAGGTAACTTATTTTCTTAATATAATAATATGTAACTTATTGTAATTTAAAAGTTCATTTAACCAGCTCCTTTTCAATCCTAATTGAAAACAAAATTAGGACGGCTTGAATGAAACATCAGACAAATTAGTTAAACATCATTAAGCATTCCTAAATTTAAAAAGAAATAATTTTGCATAAAACTGTTTATTGCATTCCTATTTAAATAGTTTAATTGTGGGAAAATTTACATAAAGATTTTTACACCACAGTAGCAGTGTTATTTTTTTTTATGTCTCCTTTTTACTTTTAATTATCTAAAAATGAAATAAATGGTAAGAGAAAGTATTGCGACCGTGAGAAATTTCGTATCCCAGTCAACAGAAATACACGTTTTGAGTCCAAATAATCAAGTTTCGCAAAAGAATCTGTGCGTGTGAAAATCCATAAATGAAATGTCCCGCAAAACGGAAATACTCTCGTTAAAATCATCTTTCCGTAAGCGCATCTTTAGATTATGGATTTTAAACATATTTACAATTTTTCCGAAAAGGGCTGTAACGATTTAGATCAAACTCGTTAAGACTATGTATTATTGTTGCTCCTTATATAAAGTTGTGAAATATTGAATTTTTAGATCCCGTTCCATCCTAACCTCGACACACGTAATATAAAAATTTTAATGTTTTATTTAAATTAATATTCTTTTATTTGAAAAAGAAATTCATAAACTTTAGTAGGCTTAATATTTACCATAAAATAATAATACTTAACGAACCCGAAGGCACGGGGCCCATACCAACAATCACTGTCTATCTTCTTAGAACTACAGTTCTTCATTTTTCCTTTTCTAAACAGTTACCGACGTCTTTAATTATCATCTCTCTTATTATTATCTTCATTTTCCTTGTCAGAAGGTTCTAACATTATAAACCCGTTCACGATTTCTCGAATGATTTTTAACGACCGGAATTTTTAATTTCTCAATTTTTTTTTTTCATTTTATGTATCTATCCACACCTGTCATGGTATTTACAATCGTCGAAGTCGAAGTTTTGCAGTTACTAGTTCAAGATCGGCCTCGCGATAAGATCTCGTGTTACTTTACACACGTTATTAAAACATGATTGTTTTGATTTCGGGTACGCGAATTCGGTAATATCCAAGTATATTTATGACTATCCTGTTGTTTAAAAATAGTTCTTTTGATTATTAAGCTTTTCGAGATGAAGAGGTTTATTAATCGGATCCCATTATCATTATTACAATCGTCCAAACATTCTTTACCGATCATTGGACTTTAAACTTCCCTTTCCACCTTTGTGTTCACACCTTCTAAAATTATTTTCATGCTGTTTCGCAGTTATATATTTCAAAAATATATTACAAAAAGTAATCTCCACTTTATTGCAAAAATACCATAAGACTTCAACTTGGGTGTTCAGTCGAAGAATATATATTCATCAATGCGATTTTAAACCAACACTTCTGAAATATGACCACCGAATCTTGTGAGCAAAAAAATGTATGAATACCCTTATCAGTGGATCCACGACTTTATGTGGTAATTGGTTAATTAAAGATATTTATCAACAGCAAGTCTGGAGGGCCCCTCTCATTGTTGGTCTGGGAGTCCATCGGACTTAGCCGGGAGGCAACGCAGAAATTAGGCTCTTGAAGTTAATTAACTTGAAGTTAATAGGCTCTTGAAAGGTTTTGTCGACCTTCTTTACATCTCCTACGGCCTTCTAATAAAATCCAACATTTTACATTAGTATTTTAACTAATATATTTCGAATAAATCTTTTTCAGATAATATTAACTCGCGTGACTGTATTAACGGGTTAAAGTTAACTTACAAAAAGTAGAAAGATATATTTTTTACTTAATATAAGCCCCCTCCCAAGTTTCTGCTGGTAGAAATTCTTGAAGAATTTTCACCCAGCAACTTCGCATACTCCACGTGTAGGACGTTCTCCTACGCGGTAATGACAGCCACGCAAGATTAGTAGTTACTGCATACTTACAATTTTATAGTTGTCATTAATAGATATATGGCCTTGGAAATAAATATTCAAACGAAATATTCCTAGGTTTCGAATTAGCGATTTCAAGCTTCGACCCTTTGAGAATTGGTCGTTTGAGAAATGAGTTTGCAATTTGAGTTAATAATTAGCCAACTACTTTTGTTTTTGATTCATTTGTGCATTCATTCAAAATTTTAATGGTTTAATATAACTGAAATTGATTTAATTTTCCTTAATAAACGAACTGATTATTTATTTAATGAGTGTACAGCAATTAACTGTGTACTTATCCTAGCATTATTGTTGACATTGTTAGAAAACTCATACACAGTAATGATTTGTTAGGAAATTGTGACTTCACTAGGTATAATGATGCCTGTTAACAGTGAATAGGATTGGCCTTTTGAATCTGTGCAAGAGGAAGTGCTGTTTGAATGCGTTACAGCGCGGCCAAGCGAACTGCTCCTCCATATGCGATAGAACGTCATCTAATCTAATTGTTTTAAGACGTAAATGTCATTTAAGATGAACACTTAAAGTTATAAAACCCCGATATACGCATATAAAGATTGTATACTTGCGCCGAACCTGCTGAACTCTTGTTATCTGTTTCGCAAATAGTGAAAGGTAATCATGTAGACAATCCACTAAGCGTATCATAAACATGAACTTATTATTTATTAGTTACACATTTCCTGGTGCACAATAAATTTGCCATCTACTTCGGTATACAGAAAATATGATATCAAGGAGAATAAATGACAGCAAACAAAATAAATAATAATAATAATAACAGAACAATAATAATAATTGCTACATTAATAGATAAATGGAATGATAAACCACTCCATGGGCGATTTTACTACCATTCACTGCCAGAGATAGGGACACTCAGGCATCGTTAACATAGCTTAAAAGCGGCAATATTATTCCAGAAACCGAAGGATTCCTCCTGGCTATCTAAGAGCAGGTAATAGCAACAAGGGCGTATAGAAAGCATATTTGTGGAGAAAATATAAATGACTTATGCCGCCTTTGCAAAAAATCAGTGGAGTCGATCCAGCATATAACTTCTGGATGCACAATAATGGCGGGCACGGGC